TCGTTGATGAAATCCTGCGCTCTTGCTCTGCCAAGCACAAGTTTGCAACTTCGTACCATCCGCAAATGAACGGTCTTACGGAGCGCCTCAACCACACCATAACCGACATGCTTTCTAAATACGTAGCGACCAACCACCAGAACTGGGACGTTCATTTGCCATTTGTGACGTTCGCATATAATTCGTCACGTCACGACACTGCCGGCTATTCACCATTCTATCTTCTATACGGCCGAGAACCCGCCCTACCATTTGACACCCTGCTGCCCTCGGTCACTGAGTATGCCGGCGAAGCCATTGCGCGAGCCGACCACGCACGCCAACTCGCCCGCAGCCGCCCGCAGGCCTCACAGGAGCACCAAAGACAGCTATACGATTCCCATCATCGAAACGTGCACTTTTCACCGGGTTCCCTTGTCCTCCTCTGGTCCCCCACTCGGCGTGCAGGGCTTTCTGAAAAACTGCTGTCACGCTACACTGGACCATATCGCGTCGTTCGCCAGGTGACTGACGTTACATACGAGATCGTTCCAGCCGATTCAACGTCATCACCGTCACCTTCGAGTGACATCGTGCACATAGCTCGACTCAAACCTTATCACCCTCCTTCTAAGGCATCCGAGTTGCTCGAGCACCGAGACGGTGCTTCTACCGCCGGGGGGTTATAATACACAACAGCCGGCACAGCCTGGCTGTAAGAAAGAGAAAGCCGACGTTGGTGGCTGGTTGTTGATGAACTGTCGCCATCTTGTTCGCCGAGCACGGTGCATCGTACTTAATCGTATTTATTTAATAAACAAGTTACCGTAATAAATATATATATATATATATATATATATATATATATATATATATATATATATATATATATATATATATATATATATATATATATATATGGTTACCTATTTTGAGGAATAAACATTGCTGCACGTTAGCGCCTGTTTCGTCTTTCTCTGTCCATGCTTTTTGTGCGAACTGCAGTATACGAGCGAGCTTCACAGTGATCCTGTGTCGGATTTCGGATGTCTTCAGGCGCTGTCCCGTAGAGAACTGTCGAGCACTGGTAGTGTTGTTAACGTGGCACAGTTCTTTTCCCTGGAACTCTCCTCTTCAAATGCTCTTTGGATGCGTGCCGAACATTAAGGACCATAGGCGTGCACACGGGGGGGGGGCGCCTCTTTTTGGTTACCTAAGAGGAGGGGGGCGCAGAATCAGCTTTATAGTGCACTAGAAGCGAAAGTTGAGCTTGTTGATGGTTCAGGCTTGGATGTAAAAACAGTTTGAAAATGCAACAAAAAGCAGCGCAGTTGCCATGCTGTGCCATGCAACTATTTCCTTTGCCTGATGTATGTGAGTGTTCATTCTAATAATTTTTAGTTTCGAGTTCAGCGCCATGTCACCCCTTCTTCAACCTTTGTCTATTTTCGTGCTCGTTTTACATCCAAGCAGCTCCATACATTGACTTAGCCCCCCCTCCCCCCTTTGAAGGGGAACCCTGCGCACGCCTATGCTACGGACGGATTGAGTAGACCCCAGCCGCATAGCTCTGCTACTCTTCTCTCTACAGCGAGCCCCTGCTCCAGTTCTCCCCAAGGAAATTGCCATTATGAAAAAAAATGAAATAATGAAGTACCTAAACAGTATTTGGCAAATACTTGGCAGTTTAGTGAACATTCATAGATATAAATGTAATCGAAGACATGAACACCACAGATACTCAAAGTCGACAATTATACAATAGTTAAAATAACCAGTAGCTACACTCAACCTACTTAAGCTAACTTGAAGTGCGCTAACAAGAGGAGGACCGCTAAAACATGTGTTAATGTAAAACAAGCGCTTCTTTCTAACAAAAGTAGGTTTCTGGACCGCTATTTTAACATTAGGCGTCGGCTTAATTGCTTTTAGTGCCCCTTTAATAACACTTTGTCTTCATTAGTAAAGGTAAATCAGGTGTCCGCGAGGTACTGTGTTAAGGCCAATCACATTCGTAGTTTAGGTCAATGAACTAGATAATCAATTGTCATTCTCAATCAGACTTTTTGCAGATGATTGTGTAATTAAGAAGGAAATTACTAACCATATCGATGTGAGCACGCCACGATCTGACATTCACTGAATAACCCACTGGCGCTATCAATGGGAAATGGAAATAAATGCTTTCGGAGGGAAGTACGTTATATTTACAAGAACTACAAAACCTGAGTGACATTCTTACATGATTAACAATATACCAGTAAAAAATGTTCACACAATAAAATACTTAGGCATTTACCCTGCACACAACCTCTCATAGAATACTCACGTTGAGGCAATAGCCAGTAAGGCTTTAAGAGCTCTAGGATTCATTAAACGAAATTTGCACTCTGCTAACCAGCCCACCAAATTTCTTGCATACACAACTTTACTTCGCACGAAAATGGAATGCGCCGCCCTTATTTTATATACCAACTAGCAACACCTTATTCATAATCTTGAGGTCATTCAAAACAAAGCAGCCCGCTTTAGCACAGGAAAATATTCCCGGGTATATAGCATAACAGCTATTAGAACGTAGTTGAAATTACCTGTTCAAGAAAAACGTAGGCTTACCGCACATCCGTCTCATTTCCACAGCCTTTAATTCAGTGATTCATCCTTCTTACATTCACAGATTAAACCAGCTCATTGCATTTTTCCACACCTGGATCATGCTTACAAAATTCAACCCATGTTTGCCTGTGCTAACTTCTTTTGTGACTCACCATTGTTTCTTGTGATTTATTATTACAATAAACTGCCAAGCGATGATGCAATGGGGTGCAAACATGGCCCATATGTCAGCTGATTAAAGCAGATGTCGAATGTTGAAGTGTAATACTTAGTAGCCTTTTTTATTGCTTAGTCTAGTGCCAATATTACCTGAATTTAATGCCTTGTTTCATGCCTCGCTGAGTGCTGCATCGCATTACCATATTTTCTGTGATGCGAATTTGTGCTTTTTACTTTTCTCTCTTTCGCATGTTCTGTGTAAACATTTTTTTTTGTAGACATAACCCTGCAATATTGTAAGTATCAACCGCCCCTCGTATGTAAGAACCACATGGGCTCTTAGGGCATATGAATAAATAAATGAAGGAATAAATAAATCCACAAAAGTTCACAGCGTATCTGGGGCTTGCAGCATTGCAGAATGACTTGTTCTTGAGCTAGTTGCAGTGGTGCTTGCTAATAATCACAATGTAGTGAGAAAAAACACAAACAACCTAGACAAACTCTGTGTCCTCAAGCAGCTGCGTTATGTGGTTCTGTGCGTCAATTGTGTCATTTCTCTCATTATGATTATTAGAACAGCGTTATGACTGATATGCCGCAAGATCTTCTCACCTGGCTTTACCGCAGCCTAAGTTTCGTGCTCAGCTTCATGTATAAATGTGTCCGTGTATACAACAAGGCAAAATTTGTGTTAGCCTTTGTCTAGCAAACTTCGAAGTAAATTAGAAGTGTGGCGGTTTGGGCTAGTTGGTATGACATGAAGATAGTTATAGCGCGAGAACAGAGTGACGACAACTTCTTCTTGTCCCTTTGTCGTTGTTCTGTTCTCGCGCTATAATTATCGTCTTAAGAATGAATATTGACCATGACCGACATAATTCAGCAAAAGCCATCAATGGAAGCTTACCAGTCTTCTTCAGCCACTTGGAAATTCTCGCCCAAATTCATCAAATTCCATCCAGCTGTTCCTTCCTCAGGCATAATCGTATACGTCCCCACATACGAACTGTGCAGCGGCCTACTTTCTACAACGCAACAGTGCTGGCGCGGATGAAGTTGTGTAACGTACAGGGGGCATGTCCCTGGGCAGACCCGCATCTATATGCCAAAGCCATGGCACAGGATAGCGCGGCATTGTACAGAGCATACGTGTCATGGCCTTAAATGTAGACCACTCGTGTGCAAGGGGTGATCTAACTTTATCAGACTGCGTAGTATTACAAAAGGTGGTCATGGTCACCATTCTAAAGTTGGATGACATTCAGTTTAAGCGACTGAAATGGGTTCTTGGACTAGCTGGTGCATGGTCGAATAAATATTGACGGTATAAATGAAAGAGGACAAGATGATATGTGGGGTTTAACGTCCCAAAATTATGATAGACGCCGTAGCGGAGGACTCCGGAAATTTCAACCACCTGGGGTTCTTAACGTGCACCAAATCTGAGCACATGGGCCTACAACATTTCCACCTCCATTGGAAATGCAGCCACCGCAGCCGGGATTCGATCCCACGACCTGCGGGTCAGCAGCCGAGTACTTTAGCCACTATACCACCGCGGCGGGGCGAACGAGGACAAGAAACGATAGTACTGACGCCGACTAACAACGGATTTGTTGGAAATAACCTTGCATCTCAGGTAACTTCAAACGCGAGTCTGTGTAATCACCGTTACAGACTGACAGGCGTTCTTCAGTTATGAAGACTGGTCTAAGAAGTGAAATTCGTGGTTATAAATTGCTGCGCGTCGGTGAGTCATCTATCAATGTTTATAGCAGCAAATTGCACTTTTACACAACTCTTGATAACTTGAGGTTGTATGTCAATTTGTAACAGTGATTACCCTTGTGACACGCACATGGGCTTAAAGTTACCTAAAATGCAAAGTTATTTCCAACGTATCTGTTGTAGTTGGCGCCAGTCCTGTCGTTTTTGTGCTCGTTACTTTGCGCCTCCAATATTTCTCCGACAACGCACAAACTACCCGAAGAACGCATCAAATGTATATTCCTCACGAATCGAGAACAATCCGGTGGTCGTCAAGCGTACTTCAGGTTACCACCCCATCGCAAGAAAATAACACACGGGACCACGCGATTACGTCACGAAGTCGTATAACAAGTCACTTTAATTTAAATTAAAATAGCACGGACTCATGAATCCTAACATCAAGCCACACCATGCTCTCGCACTCAATGCCAGTAAGAGACAGATGCATCTGCCACTTCTTCAGTCAATCTTCCTCAGCATTGTGCTTGGCGCTCATGTGATTCACGAGCGACACGCGCCTCGAGAACGCCCTGTGGCACACGTTGCACTGATGGGGCTTCCTCGCCAGAGTGCTTTGGCGAGATGGACGCGTAGTTGTACTTTTGAATGAAGTCGGTTGAGCACAGGTGACACACGTACGGCCTCTTCGCCGAGTGGTTGCGCACGTGACTGTCGAACTTTTTGCCCGAGACGAACTTCATTCCGCACATGAGGCACCGTAGGGAGCCTTGCGCTTGTGGCCCGCCGTGTGCGTCGTCAATCGCGAACCTGGTGCCGAACGTGGCCGGACACAGCGAGCAAGAGTAGGGCCCTCTCCGGTGTGGCGGCGCCTGTGGTTCGCCAGGACGGCGTTGCGAGTGAACCTCTGGCCGCACACGTCGCACTCGAACGGCCGCTCGCCGGTGTGCATTCGCATTGTGGCGCTTCATGTTCTCCTTACGAACGAACTTTTGGCCGCACTCCGAGCACGTGTACCGTTTCTCTCCGGTGTGCGTGAGCTGGTGTCTTTTTCATGGCTCTCCTTGCTGCGCAACATCTTTTTGCAAAAGCCGCACTGGTTTCTTCAGCCTTGGAATCCTCACCACTCGGCTGCACTTCTTGGCTTTCTTCAGATGGGATGATCTGCATAACGAAAATGTCAGAGGCTTTTTGTGGCAGAAATAAAAAAAAAGTCACAGCTTTGACGCCAAGGTGAAGCACTGAACGCGATACCAACAATTATAAGGTCAGCTCGGATGGAAAGCAGATAGAAACGTGCCCCACGTTCTCGCGTACGAATTACGCACGAAAAACGTACTCCACAAGTGCGGATGCAAGCGAATAGCGTCTCATTTGTTTACTCGCCGAGTCTAAAAGCGCGCGTTTTGCGCGAAGGGAAACTGCAATGATTGCCGTGACATTTTTGCGCCCGGTAACTACAGCAGAATTGTTCCACGTAAAGCCCGAGGCCAGCCAAGGCGTACGATCCTCTCCTCCTAACCACCGCGAGATTAGGGGTTCGTTCCAATATTCACCATAGACTGCTAAATACACAGCTAGAAAGGCGGCAATCTTAGGTCTCATTCCAATTCTCACGTACCCGGCAACATAGACAGCTCCGAGAAGACCGAATCGTAGGCAAACACGATGCAGGCTACTTTGCTGTCTAAACAAGATGACAGCTCAGCGAATTACTCAGGTAGATCAGATCTCACCGGAATGGTCGTCTGCACCGAAGCAGACGCTTCCGCAAAGGCTCAATGTGCGTAAAGCTTATTTTTCAAAGATTTTACACGAAATGAGGCCGAAAATAAAACTTTTACGCTTGTTTATTTTGGCTTTTTCTTTTCGACACGAGGTGGCGCATTGTCGCGTAAAAGCAATTCAGACGTGTTCCTATTCCCGGACAGCATGGGCTTGGTGCTGCCTTCTAAGCAGTCTGCGCAGAATGTCTACGTACTGTCTAAGAATTGGAACACAGCCAAGGGCGCGCGAGGGAGCGTTGCTCCCCTTCTCTAAGCCGAAAAAGTACGCGTAGGAGATTAGAGCGGGCGCCTCTGTGCGATGTGGCGATGGGCGCTCATGGCGCCATCTTTTCGGTAATGCCGAAAGCACAGCAGTGAAAAGTGGTAGATATAAAAAGCTTGCCGTTTGAACGGTAAAGAACGTTCACCGGGGTGGTCAAGTTGTTAACGCCTCACTTTCACTACGCAGATGTCCCACGTTCGATTGCGCACATTCGAGTGCTTTCTTTCTGCGTTTTCACACACACACACACACACACACACACACACACACACCACAACACACACCACACACACACCACACCACACACACACACACACACACACACACACATATATAATATATATATATATATATATATATATATATATATATAATATATATATATATATATATATATATATATATATATATATATATTATATACGCGTATGTGCCAGTGGCGGCGACAACGAAGCAGCATGAGTGTCCTTGGCCGAGGGCAGAGACGAAGAAGGCGTTGCAGTCTTTGTCCTGTGATCGATAAAGCGTATTTGTTTGACGTGCTTTGTGTGCTCGTCGATTCCGCGTCGTCACACTGGTGGCGGTGCTGGGTAGTCTTAACGCTTGGCACCCTTTCGCGGACCCGACATTCGAGCTCGGAATCACTATTACGCGTCGACACCCCAGTCCACCGTTTTAGTCGCCGTCTGCTGGGCCTGGCTCCCGTGCTCAATCCTTTGCGAGAAACTGCCAGCAATCACTTGCCTCCTTCAGCCACCATGGCCACTGCCGCTCCAGTGCACATGACACTACAGAATCCCATAATTCCTGATTGCTTTCATGGTAAGACTTATGAAGGCGCCCAAGATTTGCTGGACCAGTTTGAACGCTGTGCAAAGTACAACCAGTGGGCAACACCAGAAGACAAGCTCGCGAATGTTTAGTTCTACCTGAAAGGCAACGCCCAGACGTGGTACATCAACAGGGAAAGAAGCTTGGCTATACTTCCGCAACCAGCGTGTTGATACCTTTACTAGTCTCGACAAAAAGGAGAATGTGCAACGTCTCTGGGAAGCTCGCATATTCAAAAACCAAATGAGAGTGTTGCTATGTTCGCTGAGGACATGTGCCGTTTTTTTCGGCAGGGCAGATCCCCAGAAGCCGGAGACAGGAAGCTGCGGTTCTAATGCGAGGCGTGAAGAAGCAACTGTTTGTTGGGCTTGTGAGAAATCCACCAACCACAGTAGCTATGAGTTCACGAAAGAAGCCACAGCTATTGAAAGGGCCCTACAGCAACGGTACCGCCAGCAGAACCCGGTCAACTTTCGAGCGAGTAGTTTGGTTGCGGCTGCGGCGAGCCTTCAGACAACGACAGGCCTCTGCGGGAAGTCTTCCGGAGATAATTAGGGAAGATCTTCGCCAGCTTGGTTTCATTCCAGCAACCGAACCGACGCCGGCATGTCCTTTGTCGCCGATGTTGTCCGAGATGAGGTCTGTCAGGCTTTCTCTTCGTCCGCCTATGGTGATGTGCGACATCTTACTTATGCTCATGCAGTACGATGCCCCGTTGTCGCGCCTTCAGCTCAGTGGACTCCAATGACTGAACCACCACCAACCCTGCAAACACAGCCGCTCTCAGCGCCGACGACTATCCAACCTCGTCAATTTTTCCGACAAGACAAATGCCATATAGCCATTATGCGAGTCCCACAACATAGCCCAGTAGTGAGTCCCCACCTACCCATTAGCGTCGAAAAACTGATTTGTGGCATACCGCTGACCGTCGACTGGTATGTTTTCATTGTGGCGAAGCCGGGCACGTCTACCGAGTTTGCAGTTATCGCGATGCTCAGTATTCGAGATTTCCTCGCTACTCTAAGCCGGGAAAAGTACGCGTAGGAAATTAGAGCGGGCACCTCTGTGCGATGTGGCGGCGGGCGCTCCTGGCGCCATCTTTTCGGTAATGCCGAAAACACAGCAGCGAAAAGTGGTAGATATAAAAAGCTTGCCGTTTGAACGGTAAAGAACGTTCACCGGGGTGGTCAAGTTGTTAACGCCTCGCTTTCACAACGCAGATGTCCCACGTTTGATATAGCGCACTGGAGTGCTTTCTTTCCGAAGTTTCTTGCGTTTTTACACACACACACACACCACACACACACCACACACACACACCACACACACACACACATATATATATATATATATATATTATATATATATATATATATATATATATATATATATATATATAATTCGAAGGTCGTAGGTTCGATTCCTGCTCACAGTTGGTAATTTTTTCATCCACTTTTCTTTCTTCTATTTACATTCCATTGGTTCTAATAACTTCCCCTGTACATTCCTTGGCATTACTGTCTGTTATATCTCATTAATATTGTGTTAAAACACGGAAAACGAGCCCTTAGGTATAAACTTCTTTCTTTTATTTCATTGAACGAGGGTCTCGTACTGGCAGACTTGGTGTGTTTAGGTTGTATAAGAGGGACAATTATTCAGCTGCCCGCTCATAATAAGTTCACGTGCGACGTGACGCCAAAGTTGCGCATAAGAGTGTTTTCACACTCGTTGTTTGGCTTATAGATGGCGCTGACTGTCGCTCCTACTTCTAAATTCACAGATAAACCCAAAAAAGTGGACGGGGGGAGGGCCGCTGTGATAGCTCAGTGGTTAGAGCATCGAACGCGTAATTCGAAGGTCGTAGGTTCGATTCCTGCTCACAGTTGGTAATTTTTTCATCCACTTTTCTTTCTTCTTATTTACATTCCATTGGTTCTAATAACTTCCCCTGTACATTCCTTGGCATTACTGTCTGTTATATCTCATTAATATTGTGTTAAAACACGGAAAAACAAGCCCTTAGGTATAAACTTCTTTCCCTTATATATATATAATATATTATATATATATATATTATATATATATATATATAATATATATTGTTGTGAAGCCGTCGAACAGTGGATCGTCCTCTATGTAGCTTGTGAAGGATTCACCGGTCTGCTGTGCTCGTTCACGTAACCGCTGTTCGGCTTGAAGATTACGAACGGCAAGACGGCCGAACACGTCGACGACGGCGGTCTTAAAAGCGGACCAATCGGATGCGTGGTTGTTGTACCACATGCCGGCCGCACCCGCGAGGTAGAAAACCAGGTTGCCGAGTTTACCCGCCTCATCCCAATGATTGGGGACGCTGACGCGTTCGTACATAGCAAGCCAGTCCTCGACGTCGGTGCCATCCGCGCCGGTGAAGACAGGAGGGTCGCGGATGCGGGGAACACCGGAACATGGCGTCGGCGCAGGAGGAAGCGTTTGCTGTGCGGCGTCTTGGTGCATGGTAGAAGCCACGGTGCGGGATCGAAGCTCCAGGGGCATCAAATGCTAACCGAAGGGGTTAGAAGGGCACAGCACTCCTCACCAAATTGTTGAGACGTTTATTGGCGGACACTTGTCGACGATGCTGCTTGACAGCGACAGTCAATGCGGGTACCGACTCTCTGCACGAGCTGCTCTTCTTCTTGCTAAAAAGGGCAACCCACTAGAAGGCGCTGGAGAGGACGACCCACTAAAGAAGCACTAAAGAAGCACTAAAGAAGCATAACACTAAAGAAGCATTGTTAAAAGCAGTAGAAAAAAGCTTAAAGGACGGACAAATACCGGACAGTTGGCGACAAAGTAGAATGAACTTAATCTATAAAGGCAAGGGAGAAAAGGACAAGATTCGCTCGTATAGACCACTAACCATTACATCGGTACTATACAGGTTGGCGATGCAAGCAGTAAAAATGAAAATAGAAACATGGGCCGAACATAACGATATTTTGGGAGAACTTCAGAACGGATTTCGAGTCGACAGGCGGTTAGACGATAACCTGTTTGTTCTCACTCAGTGTATAGAAATATCTAAAATAGAGAATAGGCCCTTGTACGTGGCTTTCCTAGACATCACTGGGGCATACGACAACGTTAATCAGGAAATTTTGTGGGATATATTGAAAGGAATGGGCATGGCGACGACTGTATACAGCTTTTGAGGGAGATATACCGAGAAAATACAGTTTGCATAGAGTGGAAGGAATGCGTAGCAAAGAGAACGTTGAGGTTAGCAGGGTCTGAGACAGGGATGTTCTTTGTCCCCACTATTATTCATGCTGTACATGGTGAGTATGGAAAAAGCGCTAGAAGGTAGCAACATTGGTTTTAATCTGTCACACAAACAGGGCGGCATGATGATTGAGCAGAAGCTTCCAGGTTTATTTTATGCGGACGATATCGTCTTATTTGCGGACAGTCGAGATGATACAGCAGCTGGCGAATATATGCGGAAGGGAAGTGAAGCTCTGGACTAGGATTCAGTGTAACGAGTGTGGATTGATGGTATTCAATGATCCCTGTGATCAGACGGTGTCCATACAAGACCAAGAAATACCGAGGGTAAGTGAATACAAGTACCTTGGAGTATGGGTAAATGAGAGTGATAGATACTGGAGGTACAGGAAAAAGCCTCGGCAGCAAAAGGAAAGAGGAATGCGGCAATAATGAAGCACAGAGCGTTGTGGGGATACAATAGGTATGAGGTGCTTCGAGGTCTGTGGAAGGGTGTAATGGTTCCAGGGCTTACTTTTGGGAACTCAGTGGTGTGCATGAGGGCAGAGGTGCAATCGGGAATGGATGTAAATCAAAGGACTGTGGACGCCTCGCGTTGGGTGCTCACGGGAAGACGACAAACGAGGCTGTAAAGGGCGATATGGGGTGGGCAGGTTTGAGGCGAGGGAAGCGCAGAGCAAAATAAGGTTCGAAGAAAGGCTAAGAAATATGAAGAGAGTAGATGGCTTCTCGCCAGAGTGCTTGGCGAGATGGACGCGTAGTTGGTACTTTTGAATGAAGTCGGTTGAGCACAGGTGACACACGTACGGCCTCTTCGCCGAGTGGTTGCGCACGTGACTTTCGAACTTTTTGCCCGAGACGAACTTCATGCCGCACATGAGGCACTCGTAGGGAGCCTTGCGCTTGTGGCCCGCCGTGTGCGTCCGTCATCGCGAACCTGGTGGCCGAACGTGGCCGGACACAGCGAGCAAGAGTAGGGCCTCTCTCCGGTGTGGCGGCGCCTGTGGTTCGCCAGCGACGGCGTTGCGAGTGAACCTCTGGCCGCACACGTCGCACTCGAATGGCCGCTCGCCGGTGTGCATTCGCTTGTGGGCGCTTCATGTTCTCCTTACGAACGAACTTGTTGCCGCACTCCGAGCACGAGTACCGTTTCTCTCCGGTGTGCGTGAGCTGGTGTCTTTTCATGGCTCTCTTGCTGCGCAACATCTTTTTGCAAAAGCCGCACTGGTGTTCTTCAGCCTTGGAATCCTCGCCACTCGACTGCACTTTCTTGTCTGTCTTCAGATGGGATGATCTGCAAAACGAAAATGTCAGAGGCTTTTTTCGGCACAAATAAAAAAAAGTCCCAGCTTTGACGCAACGGTGAAGCAATGAACGTGATAGCAACAAATTATAAGGTCACGCGCAGAATGGGAAAGCAGATCTAAATGTGCCCCCGCGTTTCTCGCGCACGAATTACGCACGAAACGTACTCACAAGTACGGATGCAAGCGAATAAGCGTCTCATTTGTTACTTCGCCGAGTCTAAAAAGCGCGCGCTTTTCGCGAAGGGAAACTGCATTGATTGCCGTGACATTTTTGCGCCCGGTAACTACAGCAGAATTGTTCCACGTAAAGCCCGAGGCTAGCCAAGGCGTACGCCCCGCCGCGGTGGTCTAGTGGCTAAGGTACTCGGCTGCTGACCCGCAGGTCGCGGGTTCGATTCCCGGCTGCGGCGGCTGCAATTTCCGATGGAGGCGAAACATGTTGTAGGCCCGTGTGCTCAGATTTGGGCGCACGTAAGAACCCCAGGTGGTCAAAATTTCCGGAGCCCTCCACTACGGCGTCCTCTCATAATCTTATGGAGGTTTTGGGACGTTAAACCCCACAAATCAATTAGCCAAGGCGTACGATCCTCTCCTCCTCGCCACCGCGAGATTAGGGGTGCGTTCCAATATTCACCATAGACGGCTCAATAGGCAGCTAGAAAGGCGGCAATCTTAGGTCTCATTCCAATTCTCACGTACCCGGCAACATATACAGCTCCGAGAAGACCGAATCGTAGGCAAACACGATGCAGGCTACTTGCTGTCTAAACAAGATGGCAGCTCAGCGAATCACTCAGGTAGATCAGATCTCACCGGAATGGTCGTCTGCACCGAAGCAGACGCTTCCACAGAGGATCAATGTGCGTAAAATTTATTTTTTAAAGATTTTACACGAAATACGGCAGAAAACAGAACTTTTACGCTTGTTTATTCTGGCTTTTTCTTTTCGACACGAGGTGGAGCATCGTCGCGTAAAAGCCATTCAGACGTGTTCCTATTCCCGGACAGCATGGGATTGGTGCTGCCTCCTAAGAAGTCTGCGCAGAATGTCTACGTACTGTCTAAGAATTGGAACACAGCCAAGGGCGCGCGAGGGAGCGTTGCTCCCCTTCTCTTAGCCTCGAAAAGTACGCGTAGGAGATTAGAGAGGGCGCCGCTAAGTGATGTGACGACGGGCGCTCATGGCGCCATCTTTTCGGTAATGCCGAAAGCACAGCAGCGATAAATGGTAGATATAAATAGCTTGCTGTTTGAACGGTAAAGAACGTTCTCCGGGGTGGCTAAGTTGTTAACGCCTCGCTTTCACTACGCAGATGTCCCACGTTCGATTGCGCGCACTGGAGTGCTTTTTTTTCTTTCTTGCGTTTTCACACACAAACACACGCATACACATCACACACACAAATATATATATATATATATATATATATATATATATATATATATATATATATATATATATATATACATATATTTATATATAAATAGACACGCGTATGTGCCAGTGGCGGCGACAACGAAGCAGCACGAGTGTCCTTGGCCGAGGGCAGAGACGAAGAAGGCGTTGCAGTCTTTGTCCTGTGATCGATAAAGCGTATTTGTTTGACGTGCCTTGTGTGCTCGTCGATTCCGCGTCGTCACACTGGTGGCGGTGCTGGGTAGTCTTAACGCTTGGCACCCTTTCGCGGACCCGACATTCGAGCTCGGAATCACTATTACGCGTCGACACCCCAGTCCACCGTTTTAGTCGCCATCTGCTGGGCCTGGCTCCCGTGCTCAATCCTGTGCGAGAAACTGCCAGCAATCACTTGCCTCCTTCAGCCACCATGGCCACTGCCGCTCCAGTGCACATGACACTACAGAATCCCATAATTCCTGATTGCTTTCATGGTAAGACTTATGAAGGCGCCCAAGACTGGCTGGACCAGTCCGAGCGCTGTGCGAAGTACAACCAGTGGGCAACACCAGAAGACAAGCTCGCGAATGTTTAGTTCTACCTGAAAGGCAACGCCCAGACGTGGTACATCAACAGGGAAAGAAGCTTGGCTATACTTCCGCAACCAGTGTCTTGACACCTTTACTAGTCTGGACAGAAAGAAGAATGCGCAACGTCTTTGGGAAGCTCGCATATTCAGAAACCAAATGAGAGCGTTGCTATGATCGCTGAGGACATGAGCCGTTTTTTTCGGCAGGGCAGATCCCCAGAAGCCGGAAGACAGGAAGCTGCGGTATCTAATGCGAGGCGTGAAGAAGCAACTGTTTTTGGGCTTGTGAGAAATCCACCAACCACATTAGCTCTGAGTTCAAGAAAGAAGCCACAGCTATTGAACGGGCCCTACAGCAACGGTACCGCCAGCAGAACCCGGTCAACTTTCGAGCGAGTAGTTTGGTTACGGCTGCGGCGAGCCTTTCCGACAACGACAGGCTTCTGTGGGAAGTCATCCGGGAGATTTCGAGGGAGGAGCTTCGGCAGCTTGGTTTCATTCCAGCAACCGAACCGACGCCGGCATTGTCCTTTGTCGCCGATGTTGTCCGGGATGAGGTCTTTCAGGCTTTCTCTTCATCCGCCTATGGTGATGTGTGACATCTTACCTATGCTGACGCAGTACAATGCCCCGTTGTCGCGCCTTCAGCTCAGCGGACTCCAATGACTAAACCACCACCAACCCTGCAAACACAGCCCCTCCAAGCGCCGACGACTTTCCCAACCTCGTCGATTTTCCCGACAAGACGAATGCCATATAGCCAACATACGAGTCCCACAACGTAGCCCAGTAGAGAGTCCACACTTACCCAGCAGCGTCGAAAAACTGATTTGTGGCGTACCGCTGACCGTCGACTGGTATGTTTTCGTTGTGGCGAAGCTGGGCACGTCTACCGTGTTTGCAGTTATCGCGACGCTCAGTATTCGAGATTTCCTTGCTACTCTGATTACGCTACGTATAACGATCGACGCATGTACAATGACGCCCCTGTGAACACACCGCCACAGAATACAGTAATGCCCGGATCACGTTCTACATCTTCAGCGCGGGCCAGTTCCCCTAATCGTGGTAGTTTTGCCGACGTCACCAGGAGCACGTCCTCTAGCCCGCGATGGGGAAACTAGACGCAGCGGCTTGGGGGGTAGGGTTAACAATAATAGAAATTCCGAACAGCCCCTATTGCACACAAATGACAGCTCGAAGCCACCGATGCCAAAGAAGACGACAGCAACGACTAATCCGACGAATGAGACAACTGCCGACGTAACCTACGTTATCAGCGCTGACCTCGTCGTTCACATTGACAGCCACCAAGTGACGGCTCTTGTGGACACCGGGTCCCACTTTTCTATAATTAAGCCTACAGCTAGCCAAAAGACTAAGGAAGGTGAAGATGCCATGGCATGGACCCAACATAAGAACAGCAGGCGGTCAGTTGATGACACCGGTTGGAAAGTGCACGGCCTGAATTTTCATCGCTGGTTCCGCCTTTGTCGCCACTCTCGTCATTCTTCACGAGCGCTGTAAACAGCTCATATTGAGAACAGATTTCTTGCGCGAATACGGGGCTGTGATTGACCTCCGCGACAGAAGCGTAACGTTCGCTATAGGCTCAGACACTGCCACTGATAAGGAACACCACCCACCTCACTTCTGTATTGCCTATGACGACGTCATACTGCCGCCACGAAGTTGCTCCCTCGTGTCTATGCACTGCGACATCTTACAAAATGGTGCTGGCATCACTGAACACATCAAGGAGCTTGCATTTACTAGCGGCATTTCTTTTGCCAGGGCTGTCGTCACTATTATTGATGGATGCGCTGAACTCTTGTTTAGAAATTTTAGCAGAGAACGCCGACACGTAGTCAAAGGCACGGTCATTGCCTGTTTCGATGAACTCGTTCAAATAGAAGATTGTCATTTAGTGGAGGAAGCAGCAGCGTCTACTATCACTACACCGAAATCTGTCGACGTTACTCCAACGTTATCTCCCATTGAGCGAAACTGCCTTCTCACGCTGATCAACAAGTTCCACGGCTGCTTGTCATCCACATCAAAAGTTCATCAAAAGGCACTGACAAAACACCGCATCATCACGGATTCCGATGCCAGACCCATCCCGCAAAATCCTTATCTCGTCGCCCCAAAAGAGCGTGAAGCAATTCAAAAAAGGTAAAAACGATGCTGGAAGATGGTGTTATTCCGCAATCTAACAGTCCTTGGGCATCGCCAGTAGTACTCGTCAAAAAAAAGCGGCAGCTTGTGTTTCTGCGTCGACTACCGGGAGCTATAGCAGATCACAAAGAAAGACGTCTATCTTCTGCTGCGTATTGATGATTCATTGGATAGACTACAAAACGCACGCTACTTTTCGTTCATGGACTCGAAAAGCGGCTACTGGGAAATTGAAGTGGATGAGAGAGATCGTGAGAGGACCGACGTGGGGAACTTCCCGACGCCTTCAGACAAAAAATCAGTGCGACGTTTTTTGGGACTCTGTGCCTATTATCAGCAATTTATTGCCAATTTTTCGCGCATCCCATAACAATTGACACAGCTTACTCGGGAAAATATCGCCTTCACCTGGAGCGAAGACCAGCAGCAGGCATTTCACGCGCTTCATCAGCGCATGTAAACACCGCCCGTGCTCGCCAACTTCGATGAAGATGCGCCAACAATACTACATACTGACGCAAGTAATGTGGGTCTTGGAGCAGTGCTAGAAGGACAACAAGGAAAAGGTGATCGCCTACGCCAGTAGGACGCTGTCCTGATCAGAAGCTAACCATACTACGACGGAGAAAGAATGTCTTGCAATGGTGTGGGCAGTCCTGAAGCTTCGTACTTATTTGTACGGCCGCCCATACACCATTATCAGTGATCACCACTAGCTTTGTTGGTTAATCAAATTGAAAGATCCATCTGGCCGTCTTACACGCTGAAATCTTCGACTCCAATTGACTTCACTGTTACCTACAAGTCGGGAAAACGACACATCG